AAAATCAATTAAAATGTTGATTTTATTGTTATTACTTATTCCTATTAAGCTGTGTAACAATAATCAATTCAGTAACAAAAAACATGTTCAATAATTGATATGAAACGGCACCAAAACAATTAAGGCTTCTGCCAAATTTTCCATATTTTCTCGCAGTGTTTATTTGAAGTGACTTCCACGACTTCCCGCTCCCTTTTCGCTTGTCGTGCTTCTATTCAAGTGTATCTAAATTGCTTCATCTTCGCTTCATCTTCGCCTTGTGCAGCAACAGCAGCAACATCAGCATCTTGTTGATGTTATTTCTCGTTTCATATTTTCGCAGTTATTTTTAGTCCGCCGCCGTTGCCCTTTTCAATCCCTTTTTCGCGAATCCCCAATTCAATTCAGTTTGCAGCCCGTACAATTTAAATGAGCAATCAGAGAACTCATAGCCGGGCCATTGTTATTCTGGCCTCACTTCCCTAATGATGCTGGAAGCTTAAACTGTTAAACTGTTGCTCTTCGGTTGAAGATGGGTTCACAGGGTTCAAACAGCCAGCAGCGCAGATTAGACTTGTGGAAAACACTATGGGAATGACGGGAATTTTGCCATTTGCCGTACAAAAAACAATTGAATGTGCATTAATCACTCGCGAATATATAGAGCGCGCGATAACCTAAAAATAAATATGGCAATCATGAGTAATTGGCCTTATCAAAAGCATAACATCGCCCATTAATAATCGCACCCTTATAGCTAATTGAGCTGTCGCCCCTCTTATTACTTATAATTATTATTTAAAACACAAAAAAAGAGAAGGCAGACACACACACAAACACTCGCATTGCTGACTAACAACACAAATTGAATTACGACATTCCTGTTAAGACAATGAATGGCTTTTGTGTGTGCGGTGACCCAAAGCGGCGTTCTCAGGAAATGAAATTATACACCAATTATTGCCAACAACAGCGAAAGCTTTTAAAGAAATTGGAAAGAGCTGGTAGAAGACGGAACGATTCGGAACGTAACGAAATGTGAGCGGTGAATATGGCATCGAAATCTCAATAATTAATCAAATAATAAATCTCGGTGAGCAATTAAGAGGAGAAAGACAAAGCCAGCGAACCGAAAGGCCGAAAGCAATAAAAAGCATTGAAAAGCCGTTGGCTCAGCATTAATTAGCGCTAAACGCCGTCGCAACAACAGCGGTAACGACGGCAGCAACATGAACTCCCCACAGCAACAGCAATAACAACAACAACAACAGCAACAAGAACAACAACAGCAAGAGCATCAGCATCCGCCGCCAACTTATTAAAGTATGTACATATAACTCAATTATAGAGAATTAAAAACAAACTCAAAGGCAGGCAACGTCGGCAATTTGCATTGCTGAAAGATATGCACATGAAAAAATAAATGTAGATTGGAATAATTTAATACAAAATATTTTTTTACTTCAAATAATATAAATAAATAATCAATTTATCAAATATAAATGTGTTCTAAACAATTGAAAACGAATTACTAAAAATTTTTGGAAATAGATACATTTCCGTAAAAGAACTTTTTTTAAGTGTACGAAGACGCCGCACTCCGGCAGCAACAATCAAAGCAATAAAACACATTCAGCATTTAATAATCAAGCCAAAGATACACAAAGACAGCTCCACGGCAGCAACATTCCGCCAGCAACATGTTGCTAGTGCGCCAGCAACAGCAACAACAACAGCAACGGTAGAGTCGGAAATTTATGAGCTTCACACACACCGTTCGACAACGAGATACAATTAAGCCGTAATGCATATGAAAATTCGTGTTTTATTGCCGTGCGTTATGTTCACGTGCGCGGCAACTGTTTGTATCTGTATCTATATATCTTTATCCCGCTCGCTCCGCCGCTGGCTCGTTCGCTCGTTGGCACAGTGCGCACCGTAATTGTAATTATAGTAATATGTTTTATGATGGTTCCCTCGTTTAGCAACCCCCGCACACAGGCGCGCTTGGCCAAAATGTATCTAGATACATAATTGCCACATTCAGTCGTCGTTAAATAGTTGCACGGCGCAGTTCACACAAGCGGCAAAGGCACATTCACATCCACATCCAGAGCAGCAGCAACATTAGCAGCACGCCAGCAACAGCAGCAACACTAGCAACAGCAACACCAGCAACAGCAACAGCAACATTAGCAGCAGCAACCAGCAACAGTCGTTGCTGTTGTCGTCGTTTGTCGACAACGTCGTTTTCGTGTGCTTTATAGCGCTCGCACACAGAAGTCGTTCAGAATCGCTGCCGTCGTGGTCGTGGTCGGTATTCCGGTATCGGATTGTTGGACTAAACCCTGGTGCTGCTGCTGCTGTTAGCCAGTCACTTGGTGTATATTCCCTTCCGTTCTGGCCGCCTTTTCTTTAGCCGCCGCTGCTGGCTTTATTTCGGCTGCTTTTTGGTGTGCTTTTTGTGTGCGGTTGCCGCCGTTGCCGGTAAATCGTTGACCGCGGGGTCTAAAAGTCAAATTCAATTTACGCGCCACGTAATTATAATTAGGCATGAGGCCATACAAGCAAATGGTACTGGTAAACTGAACAATCGACCCCCTCAGAGAGAGTGTACTATTTTAATTAAGTGTGTGCTGCTACAGCGACACCAACAACAACATACAATAACAACAATAACAACAAAAACAACCATAACAACAACGACAAGAAGTCACGCATGTGTATCTTTGTATCTGAGCTCTTTTGTGAACGTGTGTATTTGTGCCGCTTTTGTGTCCATTAGTCACACATGAAACTAATTAGCATTTCGTCTGTTTGTTATTGTCGCGTTTGCTGGTCAAAAGAATTAGCGCGGCAAGAGCAACGTCAAGCGCCATTATGCGATATCCCATATGAATATACATATATACGAAGAGTATACACGCGGCACATATAAATATGTATAGTATTTATATATCGGTCTGGGATTCTTAGCGCGACCCGCTCATTTCTTTTATGATTTCTGCTTGGCATTTCCCATTAATTTGTTTATTTTGTGCGACGACGCTCGATTCCCACCGACGGCAATCAGCAAATCGAGTTTATTCGGCGACAACACGGTCAGCACAAATTATCAAAGGCAGCAAAGCACAGCAGCAACTTTAGCGGTTGTAGCAGTACAAACGGCATCTCCACACCGACAATATAAGCACTCCTGCCTATTGACGCTAATTGCTGGCCGTTGTATCTGCAAGATACTTTAACCGCTCACACCTCCGATTTTTTTTTTGTTGTTGTTTGCCTGTCTGTGGCTCTTTCCCCTGATATTGTTGTTGTTGTTGTTATTTTCTTGTTATTATTGCTGGTTCGCACGCTCGGCGGGCAATTTGTCAACGCGAACGGCGCTGACAGGTTACGCAGCCGCACTGCTGCCAATTGATTTTCAATTCATTTTATTTGACACACACATACACACACTCACACACTTGAGCGGACTATATATGTATATTCTCTCATAAATAAATTATGAAGCGTGTGCAAAAAAAGGAAATTTTCATTTTCGCAAAAATATATTTCAATTACTCAATTAAATTCGGTTGGCAAAAAGGTGTTATAAATAAAGCATTCGCTCAATCGCAATTGAAGTCCACTTTATGGTCGGCCGTGTGTTCGTTTCCCATTAATTACGCTACCCGGCCATAAATGCTGTCGTTTGCCGTTGCTGGCTCGCTCGTTTTAATAATAAATAAGTAAAAGTAAATAAATAACTATATAATGGTTATAAAGCGCTAAAGCCAAAGCTAAAGCTGCCATTTAAGTGCCGAAAAGTTCAAGTTATTATGGTCGGAACGGTCAAAATGCTTATAAAAACGATTAAGTAAAGCAAAACGATTAAACAAAAACCCAGTTAATTTGTAAATGCCAAGCCAAGCAGTGAATACAAAGTCGCCAGATTTGACCCCCTTATCCCTCACCTAAATTACCTAAATTTCACCAACTAGTTCGTCAGTGCCGTCGGTATTTATGCGCCAAGATATTTTGTCACAAGTATTCCTGCATTTTAATTTAATTTCTATGCCATTAAATATATACAAAGTATCACAGTGATGGTGATTAATAAATAGACATACAAAGAACGCAAGCAGATTTTCTCGTTTCAATTAAGTGGCTGGGCTAATACGATTGTTAAGCGCATTTGCCAAATTAAAAATTTCGCCACAATTTCAATATTTTAACAAGGCAAAAGGCCAAATTGAAAGCGAACACATGAGAAATGAAGCAAAAACAGGGTCGAGATTCGGATTGCACATTGTTTCACAATAAATAAATAAATTTAATTAAATTACAAAGGCATTATAAGCAGCCATATGTGAGCGAACGAGATGGAAGAGACAATGGGCTGCCAATTATGAAACCAGAACGCATTGCAAAATAATTAAAAATTAAATAAATGAACGACGTGCGGGCAATAACAAATTGTGCAGCTAAACTCAAAAACAGCCAGCCAAAATACATTAAAATTAATTCACAAACGCAAAGGCAAAACAATAATCAATAATTGTCAATTGGCAGGCTAATGAATTAATTACATTTCCACAACCGCCCCGTTGTTATTTTTCTTCCTTTTCTTTCATTTGTCAATTTGGTTTTTTTTTTTCGTATGGTTTGTTTCGCTTTTTTTTCTGTTTTTGTTTTAAATGACACCGCCATTGGTTGTATTTTTTCTGTAGTCGCGGCAAAGGCAATTTAATTAGGGAAAGTGGATTAATTTGCAACTCGTTAGACTAATTAAGGATTATAATCAGCAGCGAAACCAACGAGCCGTGTTAAGCGTCAGCAAGTAAAAAGTGAGCTGAAAAAGGATAACAAAAAAAAGTGAAAACAAAAGGAAACCAAAAGAAATAAAACTGAGTTAAACAAAAAAAAAAAGAATCACCTCCACCACCCACATAAGGTGACCTTTGAGACCCAAACTATAAATAGTTCAACCATAAAAAGCGTTTACCCAACCACAAAAACAAAAAAAACAACAAAAACAACAGAAACCGTGAGGAAGTAAAATCGTTTAATTGGATTTCCGCCCACCTTGAATCTTTCGGATACAATCAACAACCGCCCGAGTGGCCCCCTTACAGGTAAGCAGCGTTGTAAGCGGAACATAATCTATAACTCGAGTACCTTTCCTTCGCCCTTTGAAACTTTGAAAACATTGGCAAGTCAAAAAAAAAACAGGGTCTTTGGGGTCAGATAAGTAGCTCACGACATTGTTTTCTTGCCCTTAGTTCTAGATTAGTCACACGTGGAGAATATTAAAAATATACAAATGTTTTTTAACGTATACACCTCTACTTTATTTAATCTGGCTGATAACTGATTTATGGAATTTTCCCCTGGTTAATTAGCAATTGACCCTTGCCCTATAAATTAATCAAAATTAATTTCAAAATAAATGATGCAAGAAAATATAATTTCTATACAAATTTGTTAAAGTAAATGCCTTATCAGTAAGTTCACAATTTGTGATATATTGTGTCTAAAATAGTAGGGATCCACGCCAATCAGCCATGTCATTCAACAAAGTCGTAATCAGATAAGATACTCTACTGTTTGTTCAAAATTGGTAATAAAAATAAAAAAAAAACATTGCACATAAGATAGCAAATAATTTTCCACTTAACCCACCCCGTCATAAAATATTTTAAAATCTATTTACCAATTTTTTTTTTTCCGTATTAATTTATCAGTTCAAATAGAAAGTCAAACGTTCGATTCGAAATTAATTGACCATCGAAACACGATAAATTACTTAAAATCTTATCTTATCAACCCATTTAGCTCTGTATAAATCAGCGATATCAAATTAGTTAAATTCTCTGTAATCATGTTGTTGACATATAATTAATTTCAATTTCATGATGATGCCGCCGCTTTTCGCCAGCTCTTGTAAATGTTGTTGATTTTGGTGTTTCCTGTACATTGATGACTATGGTAAAATTTGCTGAAAATTTCGTATTTATTCTGTCCCATTCCCATTCCGATTTTCATTCCCGTTCCCAAGCCCTTGTCGCTGAACATATGGCCTGCCTCAGCACTCTGCCATTTATTACCAGTTTAGTAATCGAAATCGGGGAAACATTGCACTGTCAATTGCGGCAACTATATGGAATGTAAACAAATGATTGCGCACACATAATAATGCTGAAAGAAACCGAATTGTCAATGACTGCGCTTTTATCTAGGGGTAAACAAGCGAAAATCCAGGATATCAGAGTTTAGATAGTTAATAGCTACTAAAATATCGTAACAATCTTTATTTAGATTCTTATCAAATGAAAGAAACTACTTTAACAAGGCTCTCACTGTCAAAAGCCATAAAATTAAATACCTTTTGCCTTCCGAATTCTGGAAGAGTACTCAATCTTTGAGTGCCTCACTTATGATGATGTTTTCAGCACACCGTACATGCTGATCCATTTTCCAGATAGGCCACATCAACTGCCTGTGTTTTTGTTAATTACCATACCGAGCGATAACAAAAACTAATATAAGTGCGAAACGAGCTTTCTCCTTCGCTCGAGTCGAGAATCTCTATCTAAATGTGATAATATCTGGGATGGGGTTTCAGCAAATTGTCCCAGTCATCGTCCGAATGTGGCATTTAATTGAGTCATGTCACGAGTATTAGGCATAATTAAAAGGCAATTTCATTCGGAGCCAGAGAATTATGTGTGTGCTGGCTGGCTGCTGCTGTTAGCCGAGCTATGATATCTAATATCTGCGCCACAACAGGTTCGCATTTCGTACTGAAATTAATTAAATTGTTACTCAAACCGTTTTCTGATTGACTGACAGACGGGCCGACACTTGACGCGATGAATGAATGGATTGCCATGGCATGAAATAGAGCCTGGAACTGGTCAGTCTGGATCCGTGTATATATACCATACACCGACTATATATGCGGTGGAAACTATGCGACTGCACAAACAGAACACGGGCTCAGCCACTTGGCATTTGAATGGGCTCGCGGCGATTACGCAAAAATGTAAATAGGAAAAATTATATGCAAAAACAGAAAAAGCATTTGTAGCTCTCATTACAATCACACACTCGGGCTGCCTGCATTTTTCACGCTAATAACGAGAGTAAACAAACAGTAAAAATAATGCAATGGCCATATTGAAAAACAGAATGCATAAACAAATGGCTCTATAGGCCATTAATCGGATCTCGGCATTTTTGATACGCTTAATCACCGATATTTCAATTAATGGATACTAATATTGCTCAATCAAAAATGAAATTAAAGGAAACTATTTGAAATATCAAATGGAATAGAATTACATTTTAATTACATTTTTTTGGAGGAGGATTAAGACGTCATTACTCTCAACTGATATATGTTTATCAATGACTTAATCATGATCTATATTTATAAATTACGGGATGAGCTTTCCTTTGATTTCCGGTTCAGATTAGACCTGTGATTAGGAGAGTAAACCTGGGAAAACCCAACTGACAGCCAGGGGATGTACATATATTAAGCAACCAGATCGCTTAGCGAAGGCAGTTGGCAATTACGTCTCAGCTGATGAGTCACGCAATTAAACGGCGCACATTAATGCCAAATGCCAAGTGGGACTGGAGGAGCCACTTACACACACAACTTGCTAATAAGGCGGCAAATGAAAATAAAAGGGAACAGGATGGGTACTCGTTCGGTTGCACTCACACACATCTCAATCTGGGAATGTTAGTGGCACGAAAGTGCGACAAAAGTCAAGCCATTAGGGACATTTCTAATCAGCGATTCCGAGAAATCGAGGCACAAACATACAAACAAACACACAACCAAACAGACAGACAGACAGACAATCAAGTCCAAGTCCGTTCCAGTCAAATGACGCAGCTCGTCGTCAGTCACTTAAGACTGGCAGTTGGAAAATAAAAATAAATAACAAAAATAAAACTAATTAGCCAAGCCAAGTCGGTGCTGTGCGAGTGCAACTAGCAATTCAATCAATATCAATTGGCAAATTTGCATTTTTCCATTCAACTCTGCGGCGAGCGGTAACAAGTCCATTTAAGTGCTCGCACAGTGGGCAAATTGGACCGCAAGCGGGTTTTTCGCAACTGCAACTATACTCGTGTATGGTGTATCCATGTATCTAATTAATAATTATGACCATTATGAGCCAGCTGGTTGGTTTTTGGCTTTATCTGCAGACAGACAACTGGCCAGACAAGTTCGATGCAGTGCGACGGCTTCCGCACTTTGCTGCTGGCGCTCAAAAAAAAATAGGGAAAAAAATGCTTAACTTTTAATTGAAAACTCTTTTGGCCTGAAAAACGCACATGCATATGATGCATATGCAGATGTACATATGTAAATACCGCATATGCTCAATTGCTTTCCAAAAGCCGATAAAGAAAAAATATAAATAAATTTGCACAACCTGCATACATACATACGTTTATATGTGTGTGTGCATGTGTGACTTTGTTGTCGAGCCGAACTGGCCGACATCAAATCAAATTGAATGAGCGCGGTCCATTACTCTCCCAGTGATTTTGCCAAATGACTTCATTTCATATCAATTAAGTTTATTGTGCCGGTGTCTGTTGCCCATAAAAAACGCACGCCGCACTCACAGACACAGATGCAAATAGTTGCACACACACAGATACAAATGCTGATACAGATACGCGGATACTCAGAAACTCGGATACATTGCCCTGCCCTGAAAACCGAACGAACCTGATTCATGCGCTTAATTGCTTTGGAGCGTGTGCCGCCTGCCGTCGCACACAAAAAGGTATGGAATCGAATTGTGCACACAAATGGGAGCAGCAAAACTTATGAGCTCGCCATTGTATCTGTATCTGTATCTGTAGCTGTGTGTTTGCCCGCCGTATCTTTGTATCTGCGCGCTGGCTTTCAATAAAAATGACAACAACAATTTTTGACAGTAGGTAGGAGAAAAGAAACGCTCATAAAATATTCCCGGCGAACTGGGCACGCCAATCTAGCAACCCTACAGACGGGATAACGAAAGGGAAATTGAATAAAAACAAGAAAAAATACTCCGCACACAGGCATTAAATGAAATTCAAATGGAAAGATCAACATCGGATAGCAAAAAATGCCTGCATGCCTCACCATCTATGGATTAATATCCACAGCCACAACACTAGCCTTTCCTTGGCTTCAAAACGAGTCGACCACTCAAGATTTTTTAATTTCCCACACTCAAAAGGCACAGATTATCATATCAAAATTGTGAGAAACCTTTTCATCTTATCATAACAATAAAATTAAAAAAAGACATCTAAACAAAAATCCATTTTATTTCACAGAAAAAACATTTTTATTATTTTTATTTTTTGTTTTAATTAAATGTTTGGGAAAAAATAAGGAAAAATCGTGTGAAAGAATATTTTTAACTTTGAGCATAGGTAATAAACAGATCGCATCAAATAAGGTCGTTTTGTCCTTCATCAAAAGTTCGAAGACAAAGACCAATCAAATTGGTTTCTATCCCGCATTTTACTTAATTACTATATCGTTCGATAATGCCATTTTTCGCTTATCTGTGACCAAACCTCACATTTTTATGCGTGTGCTCATTATAACCCTAATTTTGGTGACCCACAAATGCAATTAAGTTTCGATAAAAATAGACATTTTATGTGATTTTCCCCCATCAAACACCGCCAATCAGCCAGTCAGTTAGTAGGTTGGTTGGTTGGTTAGTCTGTCCGTCGGTCGGTCGATGAGTAAACTCACCCCCAAAGCTGTTTTGCCGGCAATCAATCTTAGATATTGTCGTTCTGTTGGACTGATGTTGATAAGGAACGACAACGCAATTAGATGGCCCGCTCCGAAAGATAAGCGACTGCGCCACGAGCGGCACAGAAACTTTTTATGGATCGCCGCCAGAGCCGAACTCATAAAAAGACAGCCGCTCCCCGCTCAAGCTGCCTGTCCCATTGCTCTTTTCCAGAGAAATTTATTTACGGCCGGGTTAATTAGCTCGGCAAATAAACGCCACACCAATTCAAAAAGAAACCGAAGAGCTTTTTTGAAAGGCGCGCCAAGCCGAAACTTTTCAGCACTCTTTTTTCGGGGTTTTGCAACACTTCTCGAAGCAAAACAGCTGATCGAATTTCAGTCAGTTTGCCGCACGTTGTCGGGTAATTTTTGTTTGGGCAAAATAAACAATAATAATGTAGAAACAACGAGAAAAGTTCGTTGTCTTTTGTGTAGTCATAGCAACCGGTGCGTTTGTCGCTTGAGTAACGTTTAAACATTCTCGTTTTGCAGCTAAAAAAAAGCTGAGATTAGCAGCTCACTGAAAATCACACGCAGCCGGCAAAAAGTATCTGAGAAATTCTGCAAACGGAAAAGTGCTGAGAATCTTCTGCAAATGTATCTTCTTACTGAAAATAAATAAGAGCGTTGAAAAACAAACTAATTCGGATAGCTGACTAATATTGGTGAAGAAATTCAGAAAACAATCCAAGTCAGCTGTATAAGTATTAATCAAGAGTAAAATATATTCCAAAAATTACTCAGGAAGAACCAAGAAAACATAGATACAAATCACTATGAGCTTTGAAGTGGATACCGTGACTTTTTGCAAGCAATTGGAGGGAAGTGACAGGCGCGAGAAAACTAAAGCTCTCAAGGAACTAAGTGATATGTGTAAAAATGCAGTCGGAAACGTGAGCACTGAGCAAATAGCCAACCTTTTTGACCAACTGTACCTGCATCTACTGAAGTCCTACGATGATCGCTTTGAAAGTGTACGGGAGCACGCAATTCAGGCGGTAAATGCTTTCCTAGATCGCCTACCACCCATGGATTTCCACCTTCTAAATGTCCTTTCCACTTTGGCGGAGCGAATGGGAAAAGCCGAAACCGTGGAACCCAGCGAGGAAATTCGCCTACTTTACGTCGAACAGCTTAACTTGATGATCTGTCAATATGGAAAGATGGGAAGTGTGGGGGCCTTCAACGATTGTTATCCCCTTGTGGTTAGAATCCTTGTAAAGGCGATCAAGGATGACTACCCGGTGGTGCAGCGCGCAGGATGCACTACGGTGGTGAATCTCGCCAAAGTGGCTGATGGCCAGGAATTTCGAGGATACACAGAACAACTTCTGGTACCGCTTTATGGAATGTTGAACCACAAACACGCTCAAGCGAGAATTGCAGCTGTTGAAGCCATCGGAAGACTGAGTCTCCACATGGATGCCAGTGGTGAGGCAATGAGAAGACTATTCAATGAGGTCTCTCCTCTTCTTATGGACACAATGCCCTTGGTTCGTCGTGAAGTTGGACAAATGGGTATTCTGATGTTAATGGAACTATTGGATCGTTATTCCTTCTTTGAGAGAATCCTGCCGCTGGTTTTGTGCTGCCTGAAGGATGATTCACCTGAGGTTCTGAACCACATCTATCCCCAGTGGTTAAAATGCGGCGAACAGTATTTCAAGGAGAACGAAGCCGAGTTGAGCCAACAGGAGATCAGCGATCTGCCGGTGGAGAATTACCCTAAAGATATCAAGCGTCCAACTATAGGTTGCCGTGCCTTGGTGCAACGTTCGCTGAGATTATTATCACTTATCACCCGGGAAACCAGCGATTGGAAAGACAATGTACGTCTGCACTCCTTGAAGCTCCTCTATCAATTTGTTTTGCATGCCGAAGCAGCGATGACAGCCAAGTTCTTTGAAATCTATGGCGACTTGGCTCGTGCCTGCATTGATCCCGTAGCAGAAGTTAATGCTGAAGCTGCCAAGGTGGCCGATTTGATGGGTCGCTTATTGTCCTACGATGCCTGGATTGATCATGGTTTCGATGGCCTGGAACGCAATGCTCGGGAGTCGTACTTGAAATGCTTCTACCACATGTTCCATTCCTCTTTGGGTGGCACCTACGATCACTTGATGAACTTGGCCAAGCTCCTTCGCGATACGGAATTTTCGCACACACTGAAAACTGGTTTCCAACTGCACATACTTAAACTTCTAAATACCATTATGGATAAATCGCTGAAGGTTAATGCTGGAGATGATGAACTGCGTGATCTCTGCGAAGCTGTTTATGTGAGTGGCGTTAAAGTAATGGCCCTAAACAGTTCCCTCTTTGGCAACACATTTAAATCTCTGTCCGAATGCCCAATCGAAGGTAAAAGCGGCTGTGAATATGAACATGCTAACGAGGAACGAAAGTTATTAGAAAAAATTTCGAAAAACCAGGAAATTCCAGTCGAAAAACTTCACGAACGTTGGTTGCATTTGGCTTTGAAGGATGTGGATAATCTGGATGCCGCTTTGGAGGATTCTGCGGAACCTGTCTTGTTGCTGGATGGTTTGATAAATTTGTACCTCCTTCGAGCTACCTACATCAAAGATGTGATTGAAAAAGTGAAGCTGGTCTTCGAGCATTGCTGCGATAGTGCTCAAGTTAAAATCTTTAGCAGTCTCTCGGTGGCATCGCTATATTGGTCGAAAACCATGAACATCGAAAGCGAGCAGAGCGCGGAGCTTTTGACTGAATTCATAACGCAGATTGTGGAACCCTATTTGACTTGGAAGGCTGGATCGAATGCGGAGGCCATGAGATCCATGGCCATGGCTACAGTTTGTGCTTTGGCTCAAGGTGCTGAGATCGAAGCCGTGAAAGTTTTACCCTCGTTGGCCAAACACTTGCCCAGTTTACTCGAAGATCGAAATGTAACCACTCGTCATTATGCCATCAAGTCGATAGTTTATTTCCGTGACATGTCGGTGGAGGAATTGAAGCCATTAGCTTATGCCACAATGCAGCGTATGGATGATCCTTCGGCTGGCATTCGCATCCTGGCCGCCTTGGCTGTGGGTAAACTGAAACCCAAGTTCAGTGACTTAGAAATGGAAGCGGAACACGAGAAGGAGGTCTGGGATGCCTTTGTTAAGCGAGCCATGGATCTGCTCTTACTCTACTGCGAAAGCCCCGAAAAGGACCTCAGAGCAGCTGTAGAAGTCACTCTCAAGGTGCTGGCCCAATCTCATCCAGAATCCTGGGAGGAACGCTATCAACGAGCTTTGGCTATGGTCCAGAAAAAAGATCAGCTGGACGAACTGTACAAAAAGTTAACCATTAAGGACGAACCAGATCCAGAAGCTCCAACTTCAACAGCTTAAAAAGTTATACATTCTACATTTTATTACACATTTCAAATCTCATATTTTTTTAAATCACCACCTTCAATTAAATTTAAAATTTTAATTTCCTTTGGCTATTCAAAGCTCACATTCAGGCAATTGCCCGAATTGACTCATATCTTTCCACTTTCAAGTACCAAGAACTATTGTAAACAAAAGCTCGAAACTATAAAGTAAAATCGGTGCAAGCAAAAATCGCACAAATCTCTTGTTTATTTTGCCATGGCCAAAAATAATCCGTTTGATGATGAATTGGGTTGCAAATAGGGGAAGCAATCATGAAGCAAAAAATCATCAAAAACTGCAATTAATATACAGCGCTATATTGGGTTAAATACTTGATAAATAAACCAGCTTATAAATAGCCGGAAATGGGAACAGAATGATTGGTGCTGTAAAAACCATAAAAAAGAGAATCAAAAGTTGTGCAAATTCTTTTATATGGGAGCATTATATTACAAATTCCTTCAGGGATAGTAAACGGTCAATTAGCTGAGCAAACATATTTTTTCCAGAACTCTCAAACAACCATCAACATCCGCAACAATTAAACGCCGAGCATATATGAACTTGCGGTTCACGGGAAGTGGGTTCGTTGAATGAAATTACAATTTTAATCAGCGCGATCTGCGTTTTAATAATCCCCAGGATGTGGCAGCTAAGCTTGATGCCAAAGTGTTGCATAACTTTCAGCGCGCAGCGCATTTAACTGCATTCGCTGCCGCAACCGATTGGTTTTTCAATCAGCAGCAAAGCGACCCAATTCCCGGCTAGAGGAAAAACTAATTTGCGCCGCTATGTTGCCAAAAAGTTTGCACACTATATTAAAACAATTTGTCAAATTAGGCAAAATGTACAAGTTTCTAATTAAAATACCCACACGCGCGCACACGAGTTTTTGGATTCCTTACAGGGATGAGGGCACACAAATTCAGTAGACACTCGAATGAAGGATTTTGGGACTTATAAAGATAACAAAATTGAACATAGAAAAGGTACAGAAAATAAATTATATATTTTACATAATTATTTGAATCATTTTTAAGTTACAACATATTCTAAACTTATCAATATCCACAAAATATCAAAGCACACATAATGGAAAAAAGATAAATTAGCTACTAAAGAGTATTTACTGTACCCCTACTCCCCCATATCGACAAAGTTCAGATGGCGCCATTTCAAATGACTGTCTCCATCCCTTTCTGTTCACTTAATTGCTGGCAAATGAGCGTCAGGAGCTTTTTTCGCATGCGAGTTTGCATGGTTACTGATGAAGTGGGGTTGCCAGTGTGGGGGAATGCCATAAAAGATATGTGTGTTGTGTGTGTTTGTGTGTGTGTTGGGGGCAAACACATACAAAATGACTAACTGCAAATAAATGAAGGCAGGGTATCCTTGGCTGATTTGTTGCCGCGTTGCCTCTCCTGCTCACTTAATTAATTTTATTTAACATTAACGCTGGGGCTAATTATTACATATTTTGGCAATTAGAGCTTCTCTTCAACGCGGCGATGACCTTTATGGCAGGATATATTAAATTAAAATAAATGCAAGGGAACTGGGAAAAGAGTTGTGGGTGGCGGATGGTGTTGGCCAGCTCTTCTCATTGTTATGGCGAAGCACATTTAACTAATTATGCCGAACTCCGGGCTTCAAAGACAGTGAACTGTGGACTTGGCAAACGAAGCGGACTCACAGAGCACGGCGGCCACCCACAGACGTCAGTTGTCAGTTTAATTAATCCCTTTCAGTGGCAGACAGAGCCCAACCTGCAGCTACACGAAAAAAAATTAATATAAATAAAAAAAAAAATATTAAAAAAGTAATTGAATTTTTGAAAGTTCTCAACAACTACATATAACAAAATAACAAATATTTTTTAAATCAATTTAAATTATAAGCATAAAATACAAGAAATATGAACTCCCCACTTGTCTGTCTTTCTCGCAGTGTACGCCTGATGGCACACGGCAAATAAACAGTTATAAATAGCAAGAATGAGCAGACTCGTCCAGCGGCCGAGGCCCAAGGACCACCGGCAACTTCATCCTCTTCGCCGCCGCTTGCGGCTCACAAATTAAATGCTACATTCAATGCCATTTCGAAATCATTTCGAGTGCCCGGCCCACTGGGTTTTTGGGTGGTTTTCTGCTGGCGTTTTCGTTGGGTTGGTTTGTGGGTGGGTGGATGGATGCCACCCGGTTGCTTGGCTGTCTGAAGGACGCACAAAAGTTGCCAGCGCTCGACTTCTGCCGCAATTGAATTTCACTGGGGCAAAAAAAATAAGTTAAGCCGCATGCCTGCCCTTCTCGGCTTTCCTTCTTTTTTGTGAGCTTGCAATTTGAAAATTACTTTCATTACGTTTAAAAGTTCATTAAAATTTCACATCCCTATCCCTGAAATCGTCCATTTCCGTTCTACATTTTCCATTCGGTCGTTGTCAGTTGTCGTACATAAATACACACTTGACTGGCCAAAAAATAAACGAGGAAAAAAGAAAGTTCGAGTTAAAAATAAATATCTACCAAATGGCTGACCTATTTGGTCGGAATACATAAAGATGGCCATGATACTTTGACCCTATCAATGATTTTATTAATTGAGATACTTTTCGCACTCGGCTGCAGGCTGCATTATGCAAGCAAATTAAATGAGTTAACGTTACAATTAATCCACTGGCATGGCAACATGGATTGTGTAATAATATCCTGGCAAAAGGTAAAGGGCAAATGTGCTACAGTGTGGGAAAATAAACCTTTTAAACTTCAATTATGAACTTGAAGAGCTAAAAGGTGTTAAGAGGATATTACGAGAGCTCAAAAAAGAGAAAGATAAATTCGTTAAATATGTTTTTATAAAAGACTTTAAATAGTTTTTTTTTAATCAATGAATTTTATGATTTAATTTCTAGTAGAACCTAATTTTTTTTAAGCTTTAAGCAGAAAATTGTTCCTTGTGTGGCACTAATAAAAACTCTCCGAACAAATGGGCAGCGATGAGCGATGAACGATAATTAAATACCGCCTCGTGCTCGAGTTACCCTCCTTATCCTGCCGAAAGTTTGAGTGGCGCTCTTAGCAATTAGGATGCTGCTCTTGCTGGCCACCACCACCAATAAGGATGGGCGGGGCATCCTTGTCATCGCCGTTGCCCTGGCTCATCGAGCTCATGGCGAAGTTCTCGTTCTCTCGAAGCGGAGTTCGCTTCATTTGCTCCAGCCTCGCTTACTTCCACTTAAATGCTTAATTATAATTGAGTTTATGTACAGCGCGAGCGGGAGCTAAGTAAAACTGTCTCTGAGCAGCGGTGGCTTCCTGGGACAGCGCACTTGAAATTAAATACAAATAATCTTTTGACTCCTTGTTGCCCTCCCCAACCGCCTGTTTTTGTTGTTGCTATTGGCAAAGGACGCCTTTGCTGCTCCCATTTGGCGTTGTTTTAATTACGTCTTAATGCCAACGCTTAAATGCGAACTGGGCGCCTTTCTGCCTTCTGCTCCAAACGGACGGACGGACGAACGAAGGAAGGTTCAATGCCTTGCGAGCAGTGCGTATCAATTCAGCGTTAATTGCTCGCAGGTCTCCCTGTTCCTCCATTGGATTCCAATCCCCCCATAAAGTCTCCTTCGCTCTGCGAACAAAATCGGATAAACTGGAATGGTGCGAAAGCCATTTTGGCAAGGTTTTTATTGATTTTTGTGCAAAAGCAAGCTGTTCAAGGTACATTGGAACCAAAGGGTTAATTAGGTAAAAAACGAACAGAATTTAAGAGTCTTTCCTTAGAATTACCTTTTTTTATACACCTAAGAAACATTTATTAATTATAGGAAACTAAGGCAACAAGTATTTCCTGATATTTTTATACTTAGAAATTAAAAGTGAAATAAATACCCAATGGGACCCTAACCACTGTATTTGATTGTGCTTAATTATGAGAATCTTGCCAGACAATGAAGGAAACTCTGAATTGGATTGGAATGGTTATGGGGGGAGGAAGCAGGGATGGGGAAGCGGGGATGGGGCACCATCATCGGAAACTGCTCATCAAGGACCGTAACTGGCAGCCAGACGAGAGTCAAGCACCATTCTAGAGCTCCGACTTCGGCTTGGCCATGTATCATTATTATGATGCCTGCGAGTGTTTATTTTTGGGAACTGGGATCTGGGAGCTGGGAGCTCGGAGCAGGGAAACAGTAGGCAGCGCCAGCAGTTTTTGTTAATGTTCGCATTAATGTTGTCATACTGCGCCGGCTCTCATTTACTGGCGAGCGATGGGCGAGGGGATACGGCGACTGATGGCAACGTTGCTGGCATTAATTAAGCATGTTTGACTGTGAATGTCAACAGCAGAAATTGCCGTACTGTGCATGTGCTTGCCGCTCTTGCTGCACGTGGAAAAAATGAGGGTAACTGATGCGGAAAAAGATGGGAATCAGTTGATAAAGATGAATACTTTCTATTAGCATTGCACTGATTTTGTAATTATTTAATTCCTTGAGATTTAAGCTTCTTTATAGATAAATATTCTTTGGGGCTTATCATTTTTCTATATTCTTAAAGAGTGATACATTTATTTGTTAAAAGTAGTTTCATTAAGATTGTAATTAGGTAATATTTTAAAAATGTTTTTTATTAAAACTTTTAGCAGTATTTTTTAATGGTTTTTACTTACGACTACAAAATTCTATATAAATTCTTAAAAATGGCACCTTGAATCCTATATTTATTCAATTAATAGGAAGGTACTCCGATATTTTTCGTAGTGCAGGTGTGCGAGTGCGTTGACAGGCGGTCGAGTGACAGGCCTTTGCACGGGGCGTGACAACTGCGCTCCCCAACACTATCGGCTTTCTCCAGTGTCGCTTGCGCCTCGTAATTAAGTGACGCAAGTCAATTTATTTTGCAATTAATCATTAATTTATGCGTACGGAAGTATAATTGGCTCATATTTCAGACGGCAGGGACGAGATCACACTGTCGAGAGATGCCAAATATTGGGTGACAAAAGAGTTATCATATTTCGCAGTGGCCAGAATAATGAGATTTCCCACCCGCCGCTCAGATCAACAGAATTTTTCCACTCACTAAATAAAGCGCATTCACAAAATTGATTTTACAATGCCCATTTTTTACGGAATAATAAAATTAAGGCAATACTTTTTCTTTAATTTTTGAAGTTCCCCGAATTCGACTTAATCGATAGCTGAAAAATCAGTCACCCTTTCCAAAATTCAAAAAAATGGGTTTGCTGAAAATTGATTAAAATTCACTACTTCTGAGTCCATAACTTTTCTAGTTTTATTATCATAAAATTGTGAATACAACTATGGATAGAATATTTTCTGTTCCACCAAATGATATGAACAGTTTCAACATTCCATCAAGTTGCCAGCTCGAAGTTTTTGCATACTTAACGTTCCACTCAGTTGATTGATTGACCGACTGATGGATGGATGGTCTGAATGCTGAGTAACTGCAGTATAAATAATCGAATGCACATGGGCAGTAATACATTAATTTAAAACATTCCATTTGCAAGCATTCGTTTGACAATTAAGAGCAAACTAGCAGTACAATCCAATCCGGGCGGATCCAATCAGCGGGGAATCGGCCGACATGTGGCCCAATTGGACGTCAATTAGTCGGGTTCGGCGACCTTTGACCCACTTGAATAGGGCCAACAAATGGGGTCTGATAGATGGAGAGGGGGAAACTGAGGGACTGGGCCTTCTTGTGACGGATTCAAAAGGGAATTATAATAATGGCAATAATGAGAAGTGGGGGCCATTGTCGCGCGCCCATTTAAAAGATCATCAATCATAGGCAGTTAGTTAATTGCGGCGCGCTCTCTTCTTGTGGACAAAGGAGCGGCCTGGGCCTAATGGCCAGGCCAAAAAAGACCGACAAAAAAGCGAAAACGTTTAGCGAATGAAATGCCGCAGCAAATTAAAAAATAAAGCTTGAGCACGCCAACTTTGCTGACCCAAAGTTCAAGTGAAATAAGCCATGACAAGCGCTTCTCTGGCTTTCTCGTCTTTCTCCCCCAAAAAATAAAAAAAAAAATCCTCAAGGACCCTTGGCGAAAAAGCTTTAAAGGCAAATTGCCTCAAAGTTTTGACTTATTCTTGGAGCACTTCCAGTGTGCAAAAATCGATGTGAAAATAGCAAAGGGAAGCAGAGAAAAAAATATATAAATGCCAGCGAGGGCGAATTATGACAGGAAACATTTCAAACGGAAATGAGCCTGCCGGCACTTCCGGCTCAGCGGCAGTTCTATATGGCTAAAATGCAAACATAATTAGCTGACATTTTCACTCATTTTCTGTGTATTTTCGATTGCTGCCTTCCGCGCTAATGAGCACCACCCTTCCACCCACCCAAACCACCCAGCCACCCAGTCCAGTTATCCACTCAACAGTTGTCCAGCTGTCTAGCTGTCACTCAGGCCAGGCTTCACTGTGTCTGTCTAACCTTTTCAGTTACCCCTAAAATCGCTTCATAAGAACAACCCTCGCAGACGCATCTAGTAAAAATAACTTGAAAATTGCGCAGCATTTATAATCTGTCTTTGATTTATATAACGATTTCCGTTCAAACTACGAATGGGTACACTAAGAAAAATATTTGGAAAATAGATAAGTTTTAGAAATCTGGGAGAGATGTATAGAGTTCATAATCTTCGGTATGGAAAATATAAATGCTAAGTGAAAACAATATTATTGAAATTAAAATTTAAAGGAAAACCTCAAGAAATCCCAATCCCAGGTGATTAGGTTTTCCTCCAGTGGATGTGTGTGTGTATTTGGGATATGGGCCACCCTTCGCTGGCTGCTTTATATGCTGACTTGACAATAATGGCACAAACACACATCTCAGCCCGCTGAGAACGTGCCACCGGCAGTGGCTCCCTGATCCACAAGCTGGCTGCCTGTTTTGGCCCCAAACTTAACTTGGCCCAGGCGAACTGGTCGTGGCAGCACAATGACATGAATTCAATATAATAAATAAAATATAATGCTGTCAATAAAAATAAATAAATATAACATCAACAACAGAGGCAAAGGCACTGGCAGCGGCAGAGAGCACTGAAAGCTGTGCAAAAGTTTAAGACGTCGCCGGGGGAATTGTAGATTGAAGAGCTTAAATGCTACGCTCAAAATAGCTACGTAATGTTTGTGTGCTCTGCAGATTTGGCTCCGAATGGCTGCCATTTACCTTCGGTTTGTGGCACTGGCAAGTGGGGGGAGAGGGTAAAGGGGGAGGATATGGGGGCAGAGGATATGTGCTGGAATTCGCCCGCAAAAGTAGCAGTAATGTTAACTGACGAGGGACTGTGATTCGCCTTGAGTTGGGTGTGCGACCATTATCCTTTGCCATTTGGCAGCGTTTATTTTCTTAGCTCTTAACTAAGTGTCTAAATTTGAACCAGAGGTAGTTAGGGTGAAATATGTGGCGAAAACAATTACTCAGAAAGACTCACATATATTGTTTTTGCAGGAAAATAAGCTTAATGGCATTTTATGACCTATTAAATAAGAAATGCTATTTAGTTTGAAGTGAAACTTATCCAGCAAACAACGTTGATTGATTGCAGTTATGCAAATCTCATATATCACTCCATCAACCAGATCGACAAAGAAAATATAAACAAAAATACAACACAATGCAGAGCAATAAAATCTGACAGCTCAGATTGGAAAACGTTTTAAACAGAAAACTAATAATAAATTCAAGAGCCAGTTTACTGATCCAATTTGACAGTCATAACTAGTTATTTTCACCCGTGTGGGAAAACACAGTCCTGTGGATAAACCAATCCACAACAAACCGAAAGCACTTGAATAAAACATTCCCCAAATTGCAACTCTCGCTGCAATTGCTCGGATCGAAAAAGCTGCCACCCCAAAAGAAAGTTCACAATTGCCACTTTTCACACACTCACACACATCCAACGCACACAGACACACACACACACACAAACTCACAAACAATCGTTTTCAGCATTTTATGATTTATTTATGCAGCCATGTTGGCTTTCCTTTCGCTAAACCTTCCTGTCTATCGGACGTCGGAGAATAGAGTTATAGGAACCCAAGTTGGCCGTGCAACAAACAAGCTAAACGGTGTAGCATAATCCCACAAAATAGCTAACAACAACAGGCAATAACAATCGTCTGACTGACTACTGCTCCATATATTGAAAATTTGATTGGTATAGAACAATCAAATCGTGCTTAGTATTCCAACCGTTTGCCTTCGTTCGAGTTGTCAAGTTTCCACAACTTTAACTTTAGACTGATTCAATTGTTGGCCTGTCTCTCGGTCAAAGTGCTAACCCAATTTTGAGTGAAAAAGTAAAAGTTTTATTTCATTTTAATTTCTCTCTTCGTTGTTGTGTTTGTCAGTGTGTGTGTTTTATTTACTTACATTGTTGTTGTGTTGCCCTTGCTAGGAAAAGTTTTCAACGAAAAAAAAAGGAAAAAAAAATAAGGAAAGGAAATTAAAACTAACGAAGGATTGCGCACATGTGAGTATACATACCCAAGCAAATTAAAACAATTAAAGTGAACGAAGCACGAATAACTTTCCAAGGAACGAGCTCGCTGTTTCTGCGGCAACGCTTAATGTAAATTCATTTAAAATTGCTTAGCGCACGGCGCTCGGGTTTTCCACCTGCCAGGACTGTCGATAGTCAACTGTTTGCCATCCTGTCCCCATATCCTCACCATGAGCCATGAGCCATGAGCCATGAGCTACGAGCCATGAGCCATGAGTCTGTGTGTCGCGGCAATTTAATTAGCGAGCACATAACTTTATGAAATATTCAGAGACTTTCCCAGCGAAATATGCCAACCGCTTGGCGCCTGGGATGTCGGGGTGTGTGTATTTTGCGTTCATTTTTGTCATGGCAATTATGGCCGACCCAGGACATTCATTAGAGCACCTCATAAAAATCAATTAGCGGCATATTACAGGACTGTTCGCCCCTTCCCCAAGGAATCCCCAGGGTCAGACATTTTTCAAGTGGCTTGCGGCGTTGATTGCAGCTGGTTTTCCATCTAAAAATTTCCCATTATTCGGAGACTATAAGCTATCTAAAAGACAGGTTAATCTTAATCACCTTCCCCAAATAGCAAAATGAAACTAGGGGAAGAGTTTTTTAGACTTTTTTTCGTTTTTAGTTTACTCATTAAAATTTCCTTAGTTATCTTACATGTCTACAAACTTTGCCTGCTAATTTGGATCCTATATTTTATGGCTCCGATCCCAATGTTCATATGATTATTTGCTCAAAGGCCGGTCATAAAAACCTGCAATTTATAAGGTTTACAAGGCAGCAAATGATGACGCACAAGCCCAAGAATGTGGGGGATGCAGGGTGGATGGGTTGTGGGGGTTCAGGGGGTAAATATGAACGACGAATTACACACTTTAGCTGCCAGGTTGACAGAGCACCCACACACACACACGCACTCACACATGAAAAGCGGAGAACAGAGAATTACGGAAGAGTGCAGGGGCACATTAAATTATGCTGACAAGGCATACCGTACAAGGGGAATGCGGAAAATGGGGGTGGCTGTTGGGCGTGAAGATACAAAAAACAGGGCGGACAAAGTCAGCCGCACAGTTAACGTCAAAACTAACACACACGGCCCAGAGATGAAGAAAGCCAGCCAAAAGCTGAAAAGCAAAGACGATGACGAACGTGAACGAGGACGAAAACGAGAAGCACAGACAACAATGGCACTTTAGTTCAAAAGTGAAAATTAAAAACTGTTTTTTGAAACCTTACCGAAATATTACAGTAAACCTAAATTCAAAGCATGTTTAATATCGGTTTTATAGATAATAAACTTTTTAAACACAAAAGGTAATAAGAAATGAAAAGATAGGAATATGAACTTTTGGTTTTATTTTGGTCATTACAGTTGCTAAGTTTTTAAATTTTTCATATATATTCTTATTTAACTTCTTATGTTTCTTTAATCAAGATTTCTTAACTTCTCAATTAGTTAAATTTAGAATGACATTTTCAAGTTTCAAATTCCCTTACTCTCGCGCTTCATTTAATAATTTAAATAGACTTTTAATTAAACAAAAGTGGGCACTGTTCCAAAACTTTTTTCTGAGTGAACAAAAGGTAAACGGATGAGGACGACCAAGAGACTCTGACGAAAGCTGCCGTGGGCCAAATGAAGCAGACCCTGATGATGATGATTCGAGAGTGGCTTGTTAAAATTCCAACAAAACGACAGACAAGTAGACGGCCACCCTCCACAAAACTCCTGCCCCTCTTCCCCTCTCCCGATTCCGTTGCCCTGTGACCCTCCTGCGGAATGTGTTCTGCGTTGTTGTCAATGCAATAAAATGAAAATGAAATAAAATAGACAAAATGCTGGCAAGCCAAGGACAGGACCAAAAACCATCTCGCAAGCCTCGAGGCCAAATATGGCTGGCAAAAAGTGGCCGAAATGACCAAAAATGTAGTCTTTCCGATGAACGAAATATAACGTTCATATGCGACACAAGGCAAACAGGAGCGTATTCTTCTCCAAAGGACAAAAAGCCTGAAAATTTTAAAGTAATTTATAGGAGTTTTACAAGAGTTAAGCTTTTTACGTTGTATTTTGATAGGCAAACAGGTTTACAAGGATTTCGTCTTTTAGTTATTAGCTTTTCTTAAATGCGGTTTTCTATAGTATTTTAGTTGTCATTTGGTTCAATATTCAAAATATATACAAGGGGTCTTTAATATATATACTACAACATAAAATTTAAAAAAAAATCCCTTCTTATAATAGCATCCGCATTACAATGTCTTCTCAAACGTACAGTTTAGCTTTTATATCCATCTTTAGCATTCCATCCAATATATTCTCTGTCACACATTCCCATCCACCGCTCCTGACTTGACACATGTGCCATGGCAGCGTGGTGGCAAGTCCAGCTAACAAAACTTAAATGCCATTAGCCCTCGTCCTGGCACTCGACACTTGGGTCCTGCCACAGAGCACGATTGAAGGCCAGCAAAGGCAGCTAAAGAGGGGAAAGAGGGTAAGCAGGGTACGCAGGGTAAAAGGGATTGGTGGAGAATAAGAGAGGGGCAAGGGAGAGGGGAAGGAGTAGGGTGCTGCGGAGGCACTGGCAGAAGCGTGCCAGGTAACTAATACACACACTTGCAGGCAACTAAGCTACTGAACGTGCCCACAGGGCAGCTCGCTCTTTTTGGAACACAGAAAGAACGACTTTAAGAAATCCGAAATATAATATTGTTAAGGGAAGTGAAAATACGAACTAAAAATTGTATGGTGTTCAAAACGTGTTTTAAACTTTAGTTACCAAAACAATTAGTATTTATAACTCAGTTCGCAATTAATTTTTAAAGAATTCAGCTTAAGACTTTTTTCTTCTTAGTGTACTCCGCCTCTTTCTCCATCGCCTCTCTTTCTCTCTTTTTGTCCAGGGCTGGAAGGCAAGGCAATTGAAATAACTTCTTCCGCTTGCCTGCGCTGCTTCCGCTGCTTGAATATGTCCCCCAAATCAGCCAGCAACACATTCTCTGCTCCTCTCTCTCTCCCACTCCCCACTCCTCCTTCTGCCTCACTCTCCACATCATCATTGCTTTGAATTGGCTTTGCCATTGCCTTTTGCCATTTATTTTATTTCGCTTTAAGTGATTTTGCCAGGCGACTTGGCAACATGTTGCTGGCAACATTTTAGGATTCTCTCTCGAATGTTGAGAGCGTAATGTTGTCAGGTCTTTTAGTGATTGTGTGTGTGAGTGGGTTTATCTGTGTGTGAGTGGCAAATATCTTCGTGCTTCCTTTTTTGCTGTTGCTGCCGAGCGGCAATAAAAAACATTTAAGCACGCATCATTTTATTGAGCGCACTGTTTGAATCTGACATTTCAACTGCGACGTCGACGTCGACAGCGACTGCGAAAGTGGGTGGTAGTTGGGTGGCTGTCTGCTCAATTTTCCAAAGTGTAAGTGTGTGTATGTGCTGGGGTGAGTGTGCACTTTGTATTAATTTAAATTGCTTTTGGGAATGCCAGATGTAAGTTCTTACAACGCATAACGATGCCTTGGAAATGCCATGGAATTAAGTGCAAATTGTTTACACAAAGTTTAGGTAACCGAAAGTTAATATAGATAAATATAATAATTTTGATTAGGATTAAATTACACACATTTTGCCGCTTACCCAACTAAGTATCTCCAGTTTGTGAGTTATTATTTGTAATTTATTAAAAGGTATCAAAATTAGTTAGTCACTTAAAAGGATTTTGAATAATCGAAAGTTAAATATAATTTCAACAGTTCATCTCATGCTTATATTTAGATATTTTTAAGTATGTAATTGGGTTTTTCCTAAATCGGATACAGCGATGTATAAAAAAGAAATGAAAAATCCTACATTGTCAATAAGAAATTTTTTTGTTTGTGGATTTGCTATTTTTAAATTTATATTAAAAGAAATGAGATTATTGGCACAGAAAATTCCCAGTTTTAAATTATGAACTGATTATTTTTTTATTTTAAAAATTGTTAGTCATGCCTTTTTTGATCTCAAATAAACCTTTTAAGAAGATTCTATACAACTCACAGCTCTGCTTGAAAAATACAATGCTGCAATTTAACAAATAATAATTTCCCTTGTACATTTCACACGCTTTTGACTTAACGAATTAAGTTAAATTGTGTCACACTCAAATGTCGTGCCATAAATTTTCAGCAAGCACTTGCGAACACAAACGCACGCTCACAATGACAAATGTACAAGGCTGTGCGACACCGCCCACCACCCACTTCCCACTCCCCCTTTTCGCCCCACGAACTCGGTACTTGAAACGTATGTGCCGCCTAGTTGAATCCTTCCTCTCGCGCTCTCTCTATCATTCGCACTCCCTCTCCGTCTCCCTTTCTCTTTCGCAATGATTGTGCAACATTTTGTTATGCAAATCACAACGCAGTGCGCCAGGAAATAGGCTACGCCTGACCCACCCAACTCGACTCAACCCATTTCCAACTCAACCCGATTCAGCAGAAGCCCAAGCCAAGGCTTGCCGGAGGGTTAAATAAGTTGAGCTACACTGAAAAGAAAACTACTACTCAAATCTTGAGGAAAAAACGGATGCAACATTAGAAAATAGTTTAAGAAATCAAAAGAGATGCAATGGTTACTTTTTCAAATAATCTTTTTAATGATTTGGTATTGTGATTTTGTGGTTTTCAATCTAACTTTATGTGAAAAATTAATAGACAATATAATACAGTCTTAATTGCCTTGGATTTTGTTCACATTATTTGTTTTTTTTTTTTTTGCTCGATCTTAACATCTACAATTTGTTTTCTTGCTGTGCACATTGCGGCACTGGCAGCAAGTGGCAACGGACTGACGCTGTATTTTATTGCATTACTTTTGGGTCTCAGCTGGGGAGGCGAAAGTAAAAGGTGGACGAGGAGAGGGAGAGGTCAGTGTGGGGGCGAAACGAAGCCTTTTGGCCTTCATGTCGAGGGCGGGCACAAATTACATTACCGGGCGCCAGTTGGCAGCCGAACCATTAACAAGTTGACGACAAATGTGCAGATGTTTGAGTTAATCTTAGCCTTCTATCTCTATTTTCCTTGACTAACTTTATTTAACCTCTTTCTGTTGGTTCTCCTATTGTTTTGCAGGCAGCGTGGCCTAAATGATGCCCGAAACTGAACGCGACGCGCACTTGGAGGCAGCGGGAATGGTTAGCGGTGCTCTGGGGCACAATTACGGCATTGTTAAGGATCAGCAGCAACAGCAACATCAGCAGCAGCAACACCATCCGCTGCAACAGCCGCACGCCACACCCGACCTCTACAAGATGGAGCCCTGCTTCGTTTATAAAAATCCGCTGACCATACCGCCCACCTCGATGGTCAGCAGTCCCATTGGCAGCAGCAGCAAGGAGAAGCTGGTGAATATGTTGCGCGTGCGCGACAACCACAATTTGGGCAGTCTGATCTCCGAGAGCACTCCGCCCACCACCTTCCTGCAAACGCAATTGGAGGCGGTGGTGGCTCCCAGGCCGAGTTCCGTTCACCCGCAGCAGCAGCAGCCACTTGGCCAACAGCCAAATATCCCGCAGCAGCAGCAGCAACAACAACGCCGCTCGGCCAGCACACCTGCGATCACAATAACACCTGGTCCGCCAACCGACTGGCATGCCCATGTCTATGGGAAATTGCCGCCGCGGCCAACTCCCCACTCCATAGCCGATATCCTCGGGATTTCCCTGGTCAAACAGGATCGGCAGGAGGGCGGCGGATTCGATGCCACCGGCCAACTGGCCAAGTCACCAAAGAGCATAGTGAAGCACTACCAGGATCAGCCGCCCGTGCGGAGCACCTCCATTTCGATGAGCGATGCCAGCGAGGAGGAGAGTGCCGCAATCGCAGGCGCAACATCGGTTGCAACTGCAGCAGCCACTGTCACGGGGGAAACCGTTGCAGCGGTAACGCCGCTCGATCTGTCGCTGCGGAAAAAGTCCTGCGACAGCATCAGCTCACCCATGCCGGCCATCAAGAAGGGCGAAATAAGCGGCAAGCCTGCCAACAAGAAGGGTAAGCATGCACTGAGAAAAATACTTAATCCTGGAAGAGCTATAAAATGATAGGACAAACGAACATATGATACTATTTATGATAGTATTTCCTCATTAAAACTAACCTCACTTTAAAAAAGTTGAAAAGGCCATAAAAAATTCGAAAAACCAATAATTAAAAGTGATATTAGCAATTTCTATCGAAAAGTATGATTAAAACAAATCATTTTCTAGAAAACATAATATATTAGTAAAGAAAAAACCCTTAATATTTTCTTTTTTCTTTGCCTCTAAAGATTCCTAACTTAAGATCAATTTGATAATGTTTCTGAAAGTGCATCTATTTTTAATGTGATCTCTTTCCCATCTCTGGGGTATTGGCGCCCAGCATAGGTAGGATGTGAATGCTGTGTGGCAACGCTCGGCGAGTCTGCCAATTGAGCGGAGCGTTCAGCTCTCAACACGCTTCAGCGAAGCGTGCGGCGGGCAACGCGGCGTATGCTTGTTCTGCCAACTCAAATGATGCCCATCGGTATCTTTTCGGCCCGCCAATCGTCTTGGGTTTTTTCTTGGCTACGCTAATGACCAGGTCATTAGAATTTAACACACTTCAGTTAGGACCCGGGTCGACTGTCAGCTACTCAATTTTCTAAGCATTTTAGACTCCATTAATTGTTCACATATACTTTAAAAAGTAATTAAATTGATTGGTTTTCCCCAAAATATCACCACAACATTTCTATAATATTTTCCTGTATTATTTGTGATTCAAATAACCATAAACGTTACGAAAATTGTACACAGAAAAACATTGTTTGCCAACCACATTTATTCTTTTTCGATAATTGATAAACTATTGAAATTGTAATTGGTCAACAAAATGTGCAAAATTTAATTAGATGCACTTTTGGCTCGTTGCTTTGTTATTTTTATTTATACGCGAATTGGAAATGGTTGCCAATTTGAATTAGCATTTGCTTTGGCTGCATTAAAATGATTTAATTCGAAAGAGGCCAGCGAAATGGCACGAAAATATACGAAAATGCAATTAGCAATTTACCGCAGCAACAATGAAACCAATACAAAATCGGCAATCGGGGAGGCAGAATAATCCAAGTTGAGAACACAATTTGAATAATTTTGCGGCGGCTGTTCACTTGGCGCGTTAATTGCTCAATGCTGTGTGCTCGTTTTTATTGTTATTAAAATCACGTACCAGACTTGGCAAAAACAACGAATAACGAACGATTGAATGACGAACTTCCAGACATCCGATTGTTTGACATAGTCATCGGTTAATTTTCGCTTAATTACTTGTTTGCAGCTGCCATAAATGGAACTGCCATTAAATCAAGCGGGGCAATCAGTGGAGTTGGGTTCTAAGTTAGGGCTCTTATACATTTTTGTTTTCTTTTTTGTTGTGTTGTTTGCTTTGGCCACTTGGCGTAACGACATTTAAATGCCCGCCGACTGGCCTAATGAAAATGACATGGCAATTGCCAATTGGCGTTTAGAGCCAGAAACAGAAGCTGAAGCAAAAGCTGAAGCAGAGGGGCAGGCAACAAAACGACGGAAGCCACGGCAAATATAAACAAACATTTGTGCAAAAGTTTTTATTGTTGTTGCTCTAATTGCACAAGTTGTGGGCTTTTAACGCTTGGCCAGCTTGTTGTTTTTCCGCTTTTGTTTTGCCATTTAGTTTTATTGATTTCGCGCCATTGGGGCGCCCTTTACACTCCACTGACATCGTCTCTCATTTCCCTTCGGGGTTGCTTGGTTGGTTGTGTGTTTTTGTTTTCTGTTTTCTGTTCGATAGTGAAAATTGCCAATTGCCAATTGCCATTGGCGACAGCTAAAACGACAATGCCATCGATGTCTCGCCCGCCCGCCTAATTAATCACAGTGTCATGCATATGAGGCCGTCGGGCCCACGCGGCGTATTAGCAATGCGACAAACGACAATCGACAAACGACATCGACCACAGAGGCACCAACATAGCATCAACCAACAGACACACACAAACACACATCAGCGATATCGAGCGTTTTGCATTTAACTGTCAATTAGATTTCAATTATGCATTGGTAATTGAAGTTGTCCGGGCAACGTTCGGTTCGATTCGACTCATGCCAGACACGTTTTGGCCCCGACAAGACCAAAAGCCGTGGCCAAGGCATATGGCACATAGCGCAGTTAACACTTGTTTTCGCCCGATATTACAACTTGGCCATTGGCTAATGCAAGTGGCCAATAAATGCCCTGCAAAGGTTGGACAACAATGAGAAGCTAATTACAATATGATTTTTAGAAAATACAAAATACATTTTACTGGTTAGATCATTAATTTGAGTTGTTGATTTTAAATTAGTCGATAATAAGTTCTAAACAATTCTTTAAAAAAAACCAGTGCTGGTAATTAGGTAGAATACTATAAAAAAGAAAACATAAATAATTTTTTTTTCTTTTAAGTGGTTTTATACTAGGAATAACCCCCTTTAATCCAAGAGTTAAAACAGCGAAAACAAAAGCAAATGCTTATGGCAAACGGCAAACAAATGCATATTGATCGGAGAAGGAACAAGAAAAAAAAAGGGGAACGCTTATAGCAGAGAAATGAAACAATGCATAACAAAAGGCAGTTGGCTCAGTCGATTGCTGTTATATTTGACGGGCTAATTGCAAAAGTGGTTATGAAATGACAGCCAAGAGACCCAATTGAGGTTAAACAGCTGCGATTCGATAGAAAAGCCAGGCAAATACGACCAGCACAAATATGCATACTCATATATGGCTAACCATTTTCTTGTTTTTCTTCTCTTTTTTTTTCGTTTTGCAGAGAATTCCGGCAAGCCGGCGGTGAAGAAAAAGAAGTTGACGCCCACTGCGACGGCAATTGTGGCACTGCCGCCGGATATTAGCCCCACGGGATGTAGTTCGCCGGGTAGCAACCCAAATCCGCAGATCCAGAGCAATGCCAACAGCACCTTGGAGACCACCGAGGATGACTCCGATTCGGGATCCACCGATGCCAGACGGAAAAAGAAGGCCAGAACCACGTTTACTGGAAGACAGATCTTCGAGTTGGAAAGGCAGTTCGAGGTGAAGAAGTATCTCAGCTCCAGTGAGCGCACCGATATGGCAAAACTTCTAATGGTTACTGAAACACAGGTAAGAACGCTCTCTATTAACCTAATAACAGATATTTCCTGCATTTATTATTTTATATAAATGTTACCCCTTGCAAATTGCAGCTAAAATACATTATGTTTTTGGGGATTATTCGCTGTATTTAATATGACAATATTTCGTTGGTAAAAGCAAGTTCGAAAAACACAATTGCAATTGTGGCCATTTAATTAAATTAAACTGTTTTTATAAACCTCTCACTCAATAATCCCAATCTAATGCGCAAATTTAGCCATGAAAATGCCAATGTCTGTGCGTATGCTTAAAATATTTAATTTGCCTAATTTGCTCGCCAACTGAAATGCACAACCAAAAACAAAAAAAATATCTGCATGGTATTATTTTTGGTACGTACGATGTCTTGCGGAAAAATATGAGCAGGCAACATGATTTCCGACATTAAAAATAATTATATTGTAATGTTAGTCATTAAAAAAACAACCACGTCATTAAAATAACAAGAATTCAATTTTTAAATTTAATCTAGGGATTTTTTTATGTCGCCGTATCAAATAACATGTTGCGCAAAGATTGGGTTTTAAACAGCGAACACGAACTGTTGTTATGCAACAGAAACATTTTAATTGGCATAATTAAATACATAGCATGAATATTTTGTTCAAAAGTATCAACTTTTCGTTCGTGTTGTTTACATTAGTTTAATCCGCAATTTATTTACCCAGCTCGAATGTTGCCGAGAGCCATGAAATATATCGTAATTTAATTGAAGCGCATAATAAGAGGAAGCAAGGTGTGATGCTGCTTAATGCCTCAGTAATTATTATGCCCAATTGTATTTTGTTGCAGTTGCAGTTGCATTTTCACTTGCAGCAGCTGCCCGAACACGACATTTTGAGAAGGGGTTGAATAATTTTGAGGGGAATGGAAAGGACCAAATTAACATTTTGCATGGCAGCCAGAAATGCCTTAAAGCATAAGCAAACTCATACTCAAATGCACACACACACAGAGTGTGTCCTGATTGTGAAATAAATTGAGATTTATTGACTAATTAGAATAAATTAACTTTGCAGCAAGGACATGCCCAAGGGCCAACTGCTGTCAGCCAATTAAGACCAACAACAAAATTTATGTACAAACACACCCACATCCTCAATGTGTGTGTGGGTGTGTGTTTTGGCTCTTTAAGAGGCGCTAAATTAATCAAAACTTGAGCATTTTGCAAGAATTAGGCAAAGTACTCATAAACCCTTTGCGGTTAAGAGCTGAAGCGGATATTTGGGAAACCGCATAAGTCGTTTGTTATCTGCACTTGCATTTGACAGACCGAAATTAAAATAGACCAAATGTTCAACTGTACTTGAAGGAATGGCTTTAGTTTTTAATGAACTAAATCTGTGTTTCAACCTTACTTTTGTTTATGGCATTTTTCGTTTATTGGATTCTTGGAATGTGGCCCTTGATAACCCATCATAAAACCATATTAATGTTTCCAAGAATCAGTAATAGATTCTTTTTTATTTGTTTGCATGTACAAATATTTTTAGAAATGTAAGTAGAAAATGTTCCTTCTAATTGATTGCTTTAATGCAGAAATTAGAAAATTAGTAGGCATTAAAACACTTAACTCAATAAAACTTTCATAAACGCCTTAAAATAAAGGTTCTAATTAAGTTAAATTGCCTGATATTTATCACTTTCCACATCTACATTCCTGCCACCGATTTCTGTCCTTACAAAGCTGTCAAAACTTGGGGCTGTCAATGCAAACCCGATTTGCATTAATAATCTCACGTTACGCATACGCCGTGTGGGAGCTCAAATGCCATAAGACTAATTGGCTGCCATGGCAAAAGACCAAGGCAGATAAACACACACACACACGCACACACACATATATATAGTGGAAAAGGGAGAATGGGAAGTATAGATGTGGATGGAAACCAAGCAAATTGGCCATGGCAACAACAAGGATATTGCGGCAGAGTCACATCGAAATGCTTGCTTAATTAAATTACATTCTCCATCAAGTCAATTAATTACAAGTTGATATATACATATAAACACTAAGGACTCTGCAACGTGTCCGTGAATACACTAAAAATAAATATTGGTTTCTTTCTTTTTTTAACTTAATAGTCATTGCAATTCGCCATTACTCTATATTTATATTTTCCGCTTTTAAAAGGGATTGCAAACAGTTTCAAATTGCCTGATCAATTTGTTTAGTATTTTTCTGAGTGCATTAGTTTGATGTCGAACTGTCTGTGTGAGCCAAAATGTTATGCATGTCGACATGTTCAAGTGTTTTGTCTATGTTATTAATATTATAAGCTCGGTCCGGTCATTTATCATCCTGGCAAAGGACATGCCTCCGTTTATGTGTGTGTGTGTGTGTGTTGCTGTTTGTTGGCATGTGTGCGTGAGAAACCGACGTCAATTCAAGTGCAATGCACAGATTTCCCACTCAAACTCCTGCAGCGTGTGTTTGTGTTTGTGTGCTTCTGTGTTTATATACAAAACACGGTCAGGGCACATAAACATGTATGTGTTAATCACAGCAATAATATCAGCAAATTAACTGCAGGACACGGCTCTCAGTGTGCGTTTGCGTGTGCGTTTGTGTACGTGAAAGTGTGCGTGTGTGTGTGTGTACTGGCATCCTGCTGTGGCCAGGAATTAAGCCTCTTGGCCATTTGCATTGGCACTTGCCAATTTTCCCATCGACCGCTTACGCAGACTGGATCAAGTTTGCAGCGAGAGATTTACGTTAATTGGAATCAAATTACCAACTCTTCATGTAATTGTAAGCCTTTTCAATTGTAGTTGAATATTTTTAACCCTGCATTGCTCTTTAATTTTCTGGGCAAGTGCTTCACAATCAATTTTAAAGAAAACTTTATTTCATTGCAGTATCATAAAAATCAAACAAAATATTAAAAAGAATTTCAAGAATTCAAAACCAACAAAGTTGAAATTATATTTTGGTTTATTATTCCATTATTAAGTTAATTTATGTCTGTTAAATTTTATGAATTTTTAAATATATATTTTTTTGTTTTACTACTATATTGCACCCCAAACAAACCCAAAATAACAGAGGAAATCAAACGAAAGGCCAGCGACAAAGTGAGAGTCATAAAAGTGGCTTTAAATAGACTGCACATCGGCCATAATGTGGTTCGCATATAGGTTGCCCTCTGGAATCGGGCGGATGGATGAGGTGGCACCATTGGCACCACCGCAGTGGTGCAACCTCTCTCCAATTTTGTGTCCCTCGTCCAGGCGGCACACACTCGTGTCTGCATCGTCTGTCATCAACAAACTGTAAAATAGCCTTAAGCCAGATAAAAATCAATTAATTACGCGTAGATGCGGCTGTCCCAAACGGCAACCGCTGCTCCGCATCCCCAACCTCACCCTCCCCCTCCCCCTTTTCCCCATAAACGCACACACACAACGCAACAGACACACACATGCACCCACACTCATATAAAACTGACAACTTTGTAATTGTGTTGCGATTACCAAACGAACGTCACGCGCCAAACGCAGCAAATTACATTTGCATATTAGTGCCAGCGGGCGGACGAGGACGCGAAGGAAATGAAGGGAGGAGGGGAAAGGGAGAGGTGAGGAGGGGGCGGTGCGGGAAAATGTGAAGCCTTGGGTGGTTCGTTTGGGTGGTGCTGCATAATGCCGCATTGATAGCATAGGGGCGTGTGCTGGCAACTGTTCGTTTGCGGTCTGCAGTTCAACTGTCCCGACAATTTGCATTAGGCATTTCATTTTAAATGTTTGCCATCGCTCCGCTCATAAGCCCGAATGTAATTGCCACTCAGGTGCGACCTAGATGTTGATTTACTCTCCATCGAACCGGTTTGGGATTCAATTCGATTACAGTGGTCTCATCGCTTGATTTTGCCAAAGGGGTTAATGTATGGTAAAGGAAGCCATTAGATTTCATCTAGAAAAAATGAAGTTATGTGTCTGTAATATAACAATTAAATTGGTATATTGGCACTGTTATTTGTAAACATTACTAAGAAAAGCATCAAGTTACTGAAAACTATTCAATACAACTTCAAATTTCTCTTCAATGGAAAACCACACACAACTCCTGTGCACTTGGCTATAACACAGTTTCGACCCCTGATTTTGCACTATGCGACTGGTTGTTGGTGTTTTATATGGTCAATTGGATGACCGGTGGATGGCCCTAGCGATTCTGGGCCAGAAAACAAGCAGCGTTCACTGGCAGTTGGCCAAATGACAAATGCGATAATTAAATTAAACTGCTGCCACAAGCAGCACAAACAAATCAAATGGCAATTCATCTTTGAGGGCACCACATAATGGTGACCCATCTAGAGCAATGTGGTTCGAGTTGCAGGCTTATTTACATTCATGCACTGTTTGTGGCACCGAAAAGGATAAAAAATTATGCTGCGTTAAATGAAATTCTGTGTGTGTGCGAAATAAACAAGGACATTGCAGCTGGAGATTATTGCCCTTGTCTTTTATTATTGTTAATATTGCCATTGATATCAATCAGTTGCAGCTGGGTAAAGAATTTCCGTTTAAATTTCACAAATAATTCTGTCGTTTGCAAACTGTAAAACATTTAAGGAGTAGTATTTAATGTTGGCCAATAAAATAAATTTAAAATACTTTTACAAAAGGCCTTTGAATAAATAATTTTAAAAGGCTGGATTTTCTAAATAAAGTGCTCCTTTATTGCTTTAAGTAAATGTATATGGGAATCCATTTATTTAATTGCCATCAAACCATTAATGTGTAAATGGCATACAGTGCTACGGAAAAGTGATTTAAACATGTGGCAATATACTAAGTCCTCGCATTAGCTGGATACATTCTAGTTTTAATCCAATTACAAATCAAATCATTCGTTATAAATCTATAAAGGCAAACTCGACACTTTCACATCTGTGTAATGAATGCCTTTGGCTAATTAATTAACTAATTAAAGCTAATTTACATTTTATTAGTCGGCAATTATT